TTCTACACCTATTAGACAAGTTAATAATAATAAATGCTGAATGGTACAAACGTCATCATTTGTGATGTTGAACACAAATGCAATTGAAGTGGCACCTTGCGTTTCAGTGTCATATTTGCTAAATTCACATCATTCTGTAACACTTATTATCGCACCACTGGGACCAAAACATAAAAACTATGTCCAGCAGATTAAATCGCCCTGCTTCATTTTTGTAGAAACTCCAGCACACAAATCAGTTGTAGATTTAATTTTAAATGGATAAAACTGCATGTTTGTCCATCCGAGGTTCAGAGTGACTAATTTGTCTTGATTTGAGGTGGCCAACAAAGGCGATTTTGTCTACCAGCCAAAAGCCAAAGACCATGTCATTATCTAATCAAGTTGCTGATTAGCATGTCAGGTGACCATTACAGATCTCTATGCAAATGACAGAATTTATTTGTCTTATAATTCAAGGGAAAATGGGGCAGGATGTGATGTCTCTCTGCTATACTACCCCCCTCCTACAGCTTCTCTAACCTGTGTTGTCAAAATACGGTCCATAAATTAGCACCGCCTGCTACCTAGCACAGGTTGTAAGAACTGTTTTTCAGACCACCAGTAGCCATTTCAAACAGCCAGCTAAAAGTCTGAAATAGCGGCTGCCAGAGTGAAGAGGTGGCATTGTTTAGCACCAAGAGAGTGGGACAAAAAAAGAGCAAAAACCAGGGGTCACATCAGTTTAGCTTTTTTAGATGGAGAGTGTTAAAAGCAGTTACATCTGAATCAGATGTAGTATTCTTCCTTCTGGATGCATTTGTGACCTAGAATGGTCATGATTTTACTTTTGTATTGAGTTAATTTGGGAGTAATATAAGCTTTGTGTAACGTTAGTGCTTTGTGTCACATTAGCGGTACTTACTCATTGGTCAGCAAATGTTAGCTTTGGACTGGAGGCTGCAGTCTGTCACAACCAGGCATCCATAGTTCACATTGTCACTGGGAAGCAGGACATGATGAAAGGGGCAAAGAGCAGTTAGGACAGCTTATGGTGTCAGATTGTTGTGAGTCTCTCTAGGCTTAAAAGAAATTAGGTAGAGCAGTTTTAATATTTGGTGGGTGTTAATTTTGCATAGTGAATAAGGTTGTAAGATCAGAGTTAAGCCCTGTATTTCCCTTTCTTCCCTCATCAGGTGTGGTCGATGGACGGCTACTATAAAGGCAGGCGTGTGTTGGAGTACAGGACCATGGGGGATTTCACCAAGGGCCAAAACTTTGTGCAGCATCTGTTGCCTCACCCCTGGGCAGGAACTGGCCATGTGGTCTACAACGGGTCACTCTACTACAATAAGCACCAGAGCAACATCCTGGTAGGACACTGGCAGAATTATGAGCAGGAGAGTATTATCAGTTTGGTGATCAGATGATCAGAGTGAGGGATATGACAGAAGGGGCCTCTCTTTTCCAGGTTCAGTACCATTTCCGCTCTCGCAGCGTGTTGCTTCAGCGCAGCCTGAGTGGAGCTGGATACAATAACACTTTCCCTTACAGCTGGGGTGGATCCTCTGACATCGACCTCATGGCTGATGAGACAGGACTCTGGGCCGTCTACACATCCATCCCAAATGCTGGAAACATAATGGTACAGTCTGCCGCTGTGTGTGTTCCTGTACTACTGTGATAACCACGCAAATAACAAGCAAATAACATAAATATGCTTTTTACTTTCAATATGGCTTTTGTTTGATGTTATTTTAATAACTTAACCACAGACAAATGCAAATCCACTCATGTATTTGTCCCAACCAGAAGTTACTGCTGTCATCAGGTTTATTTTACCTTCCAGAAGTCATCAAGTCCCAGTTTTTAAAAATCCATTAAGAAAACTGACAGAGACACATTGCTTCACTGAATAATGTAATCTATCATAATGAACAGCATGTATATTGCAATTTTTCCTAACATGATTTTAAAATACAGCATACAGCTTATTCTCTATTACTGAACACTTGCTACAACCCCCTGCCTATACCCAAGGGACGGGAAGGGAGGGTGCGGCATAAATCTAAAGAGTGATGGATGGGCTAGAATAATATGAGCACAATTCAATAGGAAGTGAAAAAACTTAGGGTTCATTAAGACAAAAAATTATAAACAAAACGCAATTCATACATATTACAAAACTCAATTAGACTCCAAAGAAGAGTTCACACACTGAATTCCATATTTCAACAAACACAAGAGGAAAGGCAGCATGAAATTAAATTGCTCGCTTAAGGTACCACAGGTACTGCACAGTATAACACAACTGATCTTTTAATAAACCTCTAACAGTGAGTTTTCAACCACCAGTCAGGTTTCCATCCAAATTTTGTGCAAATTTCAGCCAAATTTACTGAAAATCAGCAAGAGAGAATTTTTCTACAACTGTTGCAGATGTAAGGTTACAGTCTTTGTAAACAGAGAGTTCCTCATGGCTTGTTTTTGTCCTGACATGCAGTGAGGTGGCTCTGGTGTGTGCAGGGTCTGAAATCAACACCGGCCAGGTAGATTTTCCATTTGGAGAGTAAATCTCAGAAGACTACCTACCATACTGGTGGGTAAATGTTGGTAAAAAATAAGCTACTCGTGTAATAAAAGAGTATCCTGAGACACACACAAAATGCCTCTTGTCGTTCACTTCAACAAACTACCACCATAGTTGTCTTACATGACAGTAGCTAACCTCTGCAGTCAGATTTTGATGGATTTTTCATCCTGCGTGAACTGACACGCTGATGATCTTGTGATATTTGTGACTCACTATCTCGCTCTTTTTCTCAAGGTGAGTCGTCTGGACCCTCGTTCACTGGAAGTGCTCCAGAGCTGGGACACGGGGTTTCCTAAGCGCAGTGCAGGGGAGGCCTTCATAATCTGTGGCACCCTGTACGTCACCAATTCTCACCTGGCTGGGGCCAAGGTCCACTTCGCCTACCACACCAACTCCTCTACATATGAATATACTGACATTCCCTTCCACAACCAGTACTCCCACATCAGCATGATGGACTACAACCCCAGAGAAAGAGCGTTGTACACCTGGAACAACGGA